AAAAGAATGGGAGGAAGGGTGGCGAAATTAGGGCTGGAAAAGCGGCAGAGGAAAGCTTAGACCAATGGGGACAGGAGCGGCAGAGAGAAGGATTTAAACGCAGCCGCATTGGGCAGTGAGCGTGCCTCGTCGTTTTTAGTGTTGCTGCTGCTGGGCGGCGGTGGCACTGTGCCACATCATAGCAACCCCAAGATTCCTTCAGGCACCTTTCACACCTTGCTTCCAATCTGGTTTGTTCATTTGGCTATTTAGCTTTCATAGAAAATTTCTGTCTACTGATTTTTGTACAGAAATAGAATCAAAAGGAGATGTGCAGCCCCAGAGTCTGTACCACCTGTGTGGTTGATGCTTTTTGTAAATGATATGGATTTATGGAGTCCTGGTTTGTCATCTATGCCTGTGCTAGAAATACTATTATACTTCTCAATATTTGTATTGCGGATTTGGAGGGCCAACTATGGGGAAATATCTTTATGTTCAGAGGTTTCTTTTGTAATTGAAATCAGGCTTAATTGCTGCAAAACCAAAGAAATCAGTGATGACCAAAAATAGCTGCGTTGTTTTAGCAAGATGTACTTAATTCCCCCAGGAGTAGAATATTTTAAAAAAATAACTAAGTAGGTACTTTCTGTAGAAACAGGGAAATACAATCAGTTATTATGCATAATGATAATTATTGCTAAAAATTCAGCCCTCAGAATTTATCTTCTTATTAGCTCTAGTTTTCTTTTTAATCTTTCTTATTAGCTCTAGTTTTGTTAATTATTCATCTGAAAGGCAATGACACAGAAAAGTCAGATGGAAGAGAAATATCTTCTATCCACTGGCTCACTTCCCTAAATGTCTTACCCATGGACTTGGTCCATCATCCGTTGTCTTCCCAAGTGCATTAGCAGGGAGATAAATCAGAAGCACAGTAGCCAAAGTCTCCAACAAGAAACTCTGATGTGGGATGTGGGCCACTGCAGCAGAGGAGGCTTAACCCACTGTACCACAAAGGCCATGCCACTGGAAGTAGAGTGAGGTGGAACATACTCAGCTGGATGCTCACCAGCAAGTACCAGGATCCCATATAACTGCTGCTTCATGTCCTGGCTGCTCCACTTCCCTTCCAGAGATGTGCCTGTGGCCTGGGAAATCAGTAGAGAATGATCCAAAGCCTTCAGACCCTGCACTCATGTGAGAGATCCCAAAGAGCTCTTGGCTCCTGGCTTTGGACCAGCTTAGCGCTGGCTAGTGTGACCACTTGGGAAATGAACCAGTGAATGAAAGATCTTTTTTTTAAAAAAAAATATTTTATTTTATTTTTTTTGTAATGATTACCTGGTTGAGCAGGGTGGGAAGGATCGAGATTTAGGGAAAATTGGGTGAACTCATTGTTTCCAAATTTGCTATTTCTTCTTGTTGTTTCTGGAGGAAGGGGAGAGACAAAGGGGGAAGCCACACACAACTTTCCAAACATTTCCATACCCAGGGATCAGGAACTGCCACCATGTATTACCCTAGGGTGTCAATGTGTACATGTTCTGAAGGTTCTGCCCAAGTGATTTGGATAGTTCTGAAATGCTGTGATTTCACTGATCCAAAGATGTTGCAGCCCTCCCAATGTCCATTGGCTGACATAGTAAGCCTCAAGTCTCCATTCACCAAGGTTTTTGCTATCATCATTTCATTGGGGTAGTTGTTCAGTTTGTTCTGTTCTCATTTTTCTGCTACGGCATCAAATGAGCTGCCATATTCTCTCCTTGGGCCATGTGTCCGCTGCTCCGACTTTTTCATTAATTAGTACATGGTTTTGCAGATGAGCCCAAGGACCCGGGCCAAGAATCCCAAGCCTTACCATATCTCCTTGGAGCTCACAAACCCAGAACCCACCTCACAGGCAGCCCCCAAGACCCGGGCTAGGTGACCAAAACCGCACCAGATTCTCTACCCCTGGGGCTTGTAAACTTGGCACCCACATCACAGGCATTCCTCAAGACCTGGGCTAGGCTACCTGAGTCCCTCCGGATCCGTCATCTCTGGGGCTTATGGGAAGCTCTTTGTATCTCTCTTTCTCTCTGTAAGTTTGCCTTTTCAATAAAAATAAATAAATCTTTAAAAATAAAAAAAAGAACATACTCATCCCTGTTGTAAATTCTAAGTGTGTGAATTCAGCTTTACAAACTCTAAGCTAGAAAAGTGGGCCTAACAGTAGTTCTGCAGCTTTTTAGTCACCTGTCAATTCATAAACATACTGTTTGGTAATTTTATCTATAATTTAGATGCTTTCTTTGTCCTTCCTTACTTCGCCACTTTACATGTAAGTCACTGGGTCACATAAAACAATTGTGTAGTAGCCTTTGGCACCAAATGTATTAATAAACAGCTTTGTTCCAGTTAAAATAACTTCTGGGATTCCCTCATTCCATGTCAGAATGCCTGGGTGAAACTCCTGGCCACATTCCAATTCTACTTTGCTGATACTGCACACTCTTGGAGACAAAGGTACTGGTCCAAGTCTTTGGGTCCCTGCTACTTACTTGGGAAACCTTGATTGAATTCCTGGTTCCTTGGTTCTGCTTGGCACAGTCCTGGCTGTTACAGGTCTTTGGGAGTGAACCAGTAGATGCATGATCTCTTTGTGTCTCTCTTTCAAATAAATACAAAGTTTTGCAACAATAAGAAAACCTTCCTGGCATGAATAACACAGTAGAGGTAATATTTTAGCAATGTGAATTCCCCTGTACTCACCCATTACATTCTTGTTCATTCTGTAAGGGGTCATGTAGCCTGCTCTGCCAATGAGTGTTTTGCAAGGAAAAAGCATACATTTAATGCAGAACTTGCATTTAATTATGGAACTGATTGGCAGACTATATTTCAGATTGTAAATTACAACCAGCACAAGGCAGTGGCATGATGAAGATAAAACATCAAAGCACATAAATATACCTGGCCATGTGGTGGTGATGGCTGTGTTGTGGCCAGCCTAGCCTATTGGCCTGGGAAAATGTCAAACAATGACATGGGATGAGAGCAACGGCTGGCACACCACAATGAACTTGAAAGTTGCGTTCCCAAGCTTTCAGCTCCTCCTGAGTATTAGAAACACACACACACACACACACACACACACACACACACACAATATTTAGATAATTGTGTTTCAAATCCATTACCTGCTGCTGCTTTGCATCTAGAGGACCTGCTGTGGAGGACCAGCCATGGCACTAGCCATTTAGACTTCATCTTTGATACACCTGTAAACAAATACTTCAGATACTTACTTCATTTTAAATGTGAAAATCTAGCATTAGAGTCCTGAATTCTGATAGTTATCTTAAAGGGTATGTGGTGGGGACTAGAAGAGGATAGGGACAGGGGGAGAGAAAGACAGGTAGGTACAGAGAAGGAGGGGAAAGAGAGAGAGAGATTTCCTATCTGCTGGTTTACTCCACAGGTGCTCACAACACCCAGTGCTGGTCTGGGCTGGGCTGAAGTAGACGACAGAAACTTAATCCAGATCTCTGAAATGAATGTCAGGGACCCAGTTACTTGAGCCATCATGGTTGCTTCTCAGAAGTGTGCATTAGAAGAAAGCTGGAGTCAGGACAGAGAGCCAGATGCCAGGTCCAGGTATTCTGGTACAGCATGCAGGTGTCTTTATCACCAGGCTGCCTGGCGGCCTCTAGAATGCCCGGTTCATAGGTGAGGCCAGTGAGGTTCAGGGTTGCCAAGCTCCAGGTGATTGTTTAATACTCCACTTGAGATGGAGTGACCACTGAGGTCCATTTTCTCCTCAGTGTCCTGACCCTTCCTTCCACGTCTCTTGGCATAGATTATTTTACAGGCCATCTTGAGTCATAGTTTGGGTTTCCTTAAGTGTCATTTCCCTGGGAATTTTAAAGCACAAGCTGTGAAGTATGTATAATTAGTATTGCTAATGTAATTTGCCGTTTTGGAAGTTCCACCAAGCAAAGTCAATCTAAACACTTGCTGATAGAAATTTCCTTTTAATGAAAACATCTGCCAGCTAGCGTCATGACTAACAACAAGAAATCCCTCCACAAATCAAGTCCACTGATGGAGTCCACTTGTTCCTCCACTGCCAGGTTCTTTGATTAACGAAAGCCTTGGGTTCTTGTCAGGGACTGCCTGAAGATTCTGCTGCCCATCTATCAATACCTTATCTGTGTTAGAAGAGAAAGAATTTTGCTTTTGTCTCTCCTGCCCTTCAGTTTTCTGATAGTTCCCTTTTTCTGTTTTGAGATTTTGCAGTTCATCTGCTCAACATCCTTTTGTTGTTACAAATTGCATTGTTGTTACATTAAATCATCATTTTTTTCTGCTTAATAGGATGTTTCTGCAGTTGCCATGTGTGTATACATTTTATGCTGCCTTTCTTAAAAACATGGAAACTGTTTTAGTGTTTGCCTTCGTAATCAATGTATTTATTCTACATCAATACCTGATTTCACCAAAATTCAGTCTTAGGAGATAAGGTTGGCACTTTTAGGGGTGTGCTTTCTTTTGTTTTGTTTTGTTTTGTTTTGTCTTTGCATTTTGTTATGGGCCTGTGCTACTTTGAGTGGTAGGCAATGAGCCACCAAGATCCCAGGACCCTGTCCCTAGGCTGTTTCCTCCACAGAGCTCTTCCCATAGGTGTTCACAAAGTGGTTTGGGAACAGCACTCAGTGCACACTGGGGCCAGTCATTCAGGAACACGGGCTTGCTCTATGTGTCTGTCAGCCTCATTGTCTGAAAGCATCTTCAAAGCAGCATCCCCAGCTGTTTCAGCTGCTCAGTGATTCACACTTCACAGAGCAGAACTGTCAGGAAGCCACTGGCTCTATCTGAAGGGCCATCGCCACCTGTGTAGGCAATCTTTGTGCACATCTCGGTTGTCTACATGCTGAAGTACCAGACAGTTTTCATTTGCTGATTTAATTTCCCCCAAAGTATGTTGTTCTCCTGATAGAGATGTATATTAACAATGACATTTTCATTTTGTTTTTCAGAGCATCAGAGCCTCAGGCCTCATCCTGTTGGAAACGATTCTTTTTGGGTCTCTGCTCCTATACTTTCCTGTAAGTACCTCAATTAGGTTTAAATTAGCAATTTGTTTTGATTGTGCTTTGGCAACATGTTATATAAAAAGGATCCTATAAAAAAATTGTGGGGCAGGTATTTGGGCTGCTGGTTCAGGTACTGGTTTAGTTGTCTAGATCCCACCTTATGGCTCTGGCTTCCAGCATCCCACTATGTAGGCAGTGGGTCACGAAATTGGGCCTCTGTTACTCATATGGGAAACTTAGATTGAGTTCCTCAGCCTATGTCTGGTTTTCCCAAGGGCAATTGCAGTTGTTTGAGTGACCCACCTGGTGGGTACTCACTCCTGCAAGTACTCTCTTTCTCTCTATTACAAGATTTCATTAAAAATGGATGTTAATTTTTAATCCATGTTCCATGAGTTTTTGAAGCACACACACCTGCAAAACCAAGGACCTGATTGATATCTAAATCCTTGCTCTATTTGTGTGTTATTGAACATGTCACATAACCCTTCTACACCGTATCTTCCTTATAAAATGAAACTAATTACACATGTCTTCATAAATTTGTTAAGGGAGCTAAATGCTTAAGGGAGGTAATATATGAGAGGTATACTTATTAAGTAAGCTTAATAAATACAAATACATATTAATGACTATTTCTTCCTCTCACTCTTTCCTGAATAAGAACCATGAAACACATCAGGAAGACAATGCTAGGAAATTCCAAGTGATTAAATAAGAAAATAAACATTCGGTGTCTACCTAGTCGATTAGATCATCATAGCAGGCTGAAAAACAAAGTACATTAGTAGCATATCTGTAATGGGAAAATAAGTACAGATATTTCTAATTCAGTTCACCCAACTTGTTTGTGTTCAGCAGTTACTGTGTGGTAATAACTACTCCAGTTCCTATGTGGTCACCACATGTGAAATAAACTTGATATCTCCTCCCCAGAAGCTTACAGTAAAGGGAAAGAGATGAATGAGTGCCATGACGTTATTAAATAGCAAAGGCCAAGAGAGTGCCAGGAACAAGAGGCTGTGGAGACAGAGAACAGATACCGGGCCATGTGTCGGGGAATAAAGATCTGAAAGACCACTGGCTGTTGGGGAAGGAGGAAATGAGGCTGCCTGATACCACACTCTTTCTTATAACACTGTTGTGACTCTATTCTCAGCCTTTTTTTGTTTTGGTGCTTAACTTTTCCCCCAACTCTTATTACTTCAGTGTCCCAGGAACTCCCAGCTTTTCTTCTAAGTACAGTTTTACCAGGTGATCTCATTGAGCCTTAGAGTCTGATATACCACCTCTGCTAAGCTGAAGAGCATTGAATTGGTATCTTCAACCAACACCTTTTCTACCCAACCACAGAATCCTCTGTCCATCATGTATTCTACTGGCTGTGGGCTTTGCTCCCATGTTTGGTCTCTTAATGGTGAATGGGTCCTCCTCATTGCTCAGACCAAAAACCTGGATCTTCTTCTTGATTGCTCTCTCTTTCTCATATTCTCCTGAAAACCTTTCATAATCCTGTAAGAATTCTGTGCCCATCATGCTCACTGCCAGTCTCCTGCTCTAAACCACCATCCAAAAGCCAGAGTCACTCTGACCTCTCTTTTCTCATGCTTCATTTCCCCTCACTTTCAACAAATTTCAAAATATCAGCTCATTTTAACATAAAAGTAAGATTGATCTTGTCTCCCCTCTTCCCAAAACTTTCAAAATGATTTCCCAGTTTCACTGACAATAAATGCTAAAATCCTTCCTGTTGCTTCTGGGGACGAAATGATTTGCTTCCTGCCCTCCCAGTTCCTTCATTTCCTAATGCTGTTCCCTTCCCTCAGTGCTCAATTCAAGTTTTCTTTCTTGATTCTCATCGTGAGCTATATTTCCTATTTCCTTAAGATGTTAACATATTTAGATGGAACTAGCTCTGTGGGCTGAGTCCCCCAGAATCCTTGGGTTGAACACCCAACCCCAGTACTGCAATGTTGGGAAGCTGGGTCCTTTGGGAAGGATTTATGATGATCAGGAATGAATTGATGCCATTGTAAAAGAGTGCAATGGGTGAAGTTGATCTTTCTGGTCTTTGGGGCTTCTGGCAGGGACCCCACTGCCTTCAGAAGCATAGGTACTGGGATCTGAATTAAGCGTTCCAGTATAGGATACAGGAGTCCCAAGCAGTGATCAATATTCCTATCCCCCTTTTCTTTGGCAAATGTTCGTGGGTTTTATTTTTATTTATTTGAGAACTTGACAGTTAGAGAAAAGCAGAGAAATCTTCCACACACTGGTTCAATACCCAAATGCCTGCAACAGTCAGGCCTTGGCCAGAGTTGAAACTACAAACTGGAAACTGTCTCCCATAAGAACAGCAGGAGCCCAATGCCTTGAGCAATCACAGACCTGAACTATGTTCCTGGATCCTTGCAGCAGCCCTGGCCTAGCCCTGACTACTGTGCATACTTGGGGAAGTGAAACAGAAGGCTATGATTTGTTGTTGATGTTGTTGTTGATGTGGCTGTTCTAACTCATACCGGTTGTTGACCTTATTTAATGGCTTCTCACTTATGGTAATGTATAGTGATGGAGTACTGGGGTCTATCATATACAGATGTGGGGGTACAATGGAACATACGTCCCTGCATCCAGACAAAAGATGGATTCCCAATGAAACTGTTGGACATGTATAGACAATGGGATGCTGGACTGTCTGACATTGTCTGTACCAACAATGTCGGGGTACACTTAAATAAGAGACTGATAGAATTATGATTCCTTATGAAGGACTACACTATTGTAACATAATGGGAAAATATGACAGGGGTGGGAGTTTGGGGGGGGGGGAATCCCAACCTATACAAAAATGTACCACATTCACAATTCTCTCTCTTTCCACTCAAATAAGTTAAGAAAAATTTAAATCGTGTTACAAGCAAAATTTTAGAAATGTTCTTTTGAAGTGTACCGAAAAGTTTAGTTATCGGAGAAATTAATTAAATGGTTCATTATGTTTGGGTGGCGTGGTTTCATTGATGCACAGAGGCCTGCAGTGTTGGAAAGACTCTTAGAAAGTACACTGCAAAAGGAGGACATTTGAACAAAGAGTAAATGTCAGCAGTCAGTAGAGGTCCTTTCCTCAAGTGGCACTCCTTTTAATAGATGCAGGATGGACTGGTCCCCATGGTGATGTGGCCAGAGGGGAAAAAAGGGCAGAGAATGGGCAATTTAAAAGAAATATGAAGAACTACTTTATCATTCTCATGTGCTCAAGAGAAAGAAATCAGGAGAAGAATCATACACGCAAATTCTCACTGATGACAACATCAGGATCCTGCATTGTGCTGACACAAGTTTCACTCAGCTGTGTATTTCATCATTTGAGAACTCAAATCATTTTTAAAACTTCTTTTTTTTAAAAAAATTTTTTATTTGATAGGCAGAGTGACAAAGAGGGAAATACAGATAGGAAAAATCATTCATCTGCTGGTTTACAAATGGGCAAGACTATCCCAGGTGAAACCAGGAGCTCCATTCTGGTCCCCTACATAGATGGCAAGGGCTTAAATGATTGGGGCATCTTCCACTGCTCTTCCAGGCACATTGGCAGGAAGATGTACCAAAAGGGTAGTACTTGGGATTTCAGCTGATCTTCTCAGGGATGCTGGCATTGTAAGCAGAGGCTTAACTCACTGCACTCCAACACCTGCTTTTTAAAACATCTGGAGACACCATAGCTCCCAAGTTTATCCTCTGTACCTTGGTTTTAATTAAGTTAATGTTCTGAAATCAGAAACAATCAAAGTATTGAAGTAAGATTTTGATGTAGTATAAGACATAGCAGAAGAATGGATTTTAAAACACAGTGACGATTGATTCTTGAAAGGAGAATTACTGTGAGAGAGCAGGAGATCCTGCATCCATGACTGATGGTGAGCCCTCCACTGCACTGGCCATTTCGGTGGGCAGGTGAGTGCACGCGTAGGGCATTTTTGACAAACAGAAGCCTCAGTCATTGGACCAGGACTCAGTAGCCTCATTAGGCTTTGCAAAACTCACATTTATATTAGTTTTGCCGTGACAGAGACCAAACTGAATACCGCCAAAATGCCCAATTGTTGGATGGTATGAATGTGACCAGTGCCCTTCTTATTTGTTTAATATCGTATTGTGTCCCTGACATGGGCCGTACCAGGATTGTTCATGCTATTCCTGCCAGGGTTTTAGTTCCTTAAGAATGTATGTCTGAATCCACTGGAACTCTCCTCAGAGGTGGTAACTCCGTGGAAGGATTCTATGGGAGTAGTCACCATTCCACTGAGTTATGCAACAAGCCTTTTCTTCTTTCCTCTGCTGTATATTGTTGTTCAGATTTGCAAGAACAGAGGTTATTTTTGCCTTTTCTCAGCACTGTTAGACTGCAGCCGATTTCATAACAACACTTATATCGGGAAGTCCGAATTAGAGACACTCCTCATTGTGCCGCTGAGGACAAGCCCAGAACTGACTAAATTTAGCAGTGTTCTAATTGGGTGGCAGAGAACTTAAGCTTTTAAGATGTTTCCTTACAGCGTCTCAAAAGAAGCTCATGATTTGAAGCTCATACACTTGTGAGAAAATGATTATTATTCCTCATAAGCACCCTAAAAACTCTTGTCTGGCTTCTAAAAGAAAGACAAAGAATGATAATTATAATAAAAAGATGTATTGAGTTATTGAAAGGCAGAGTTACAAAGGGTGAGTGAGAGACAGAGGCAAAAAAGGGCTGGACTAGACCAAAGCCAGGAGTCAGTGATTTCTTCCAAATTTCCCAAGTGTACATCCAGGACCCCAAACCCTGCACCATTTTCCACTGCTTTCCCAGGCCATTAACAGGGAGCAAGCTGAGAAGAGGGGCAGCAGAGACACAAACTAACGTCTATATGGGATGCCACCACAATGTTGCCCCCCCCCCAATAAAAACTTTAAGGAAAAAAAATGAAAGTATATTTCTCTTTTCAAACTATATTTTAAAAATATTTTATGGATTC